CTTAGAGGAAGGTAAGATTTCTGGAGGGGGTCTAGGGGCTGGGGTCTCTAGAGTTTGTACAAGATATTATGTCAACAAGAACTAATTACCTTCAGCTAATATCGAATTAAAGAATTTTAAGATTTGTCAAGTACTAGAAACTTAATACTTATTAAAAAAAACCTACATCTATGCTTAAAATTACCAGATCAAATAGACTTTCCTAAATCAAGTTTATTGCGGGGTATAATTTTCTTGGTACAAAATATTTTTCGCTACACATCATGAAATTTTAAACAAAAGTGTTAGTGTATATAAAATAATGTCCATGAACTTGCATTAACATCAAAATGACTTTTAAGAATAATAAGACCGTTATTTAACACTAAATTGCCTTAAATAGTGAAATTAGATTTTACTGGTTTTCAAGGAAGGAAGAAAATTTCAAAAGCCTATAGCTTCTGTATATTTCCTCATTAGTTAATCAAAAAGATATTTTCAATCCTTTGACTTCTGATGGACAGTTATTACATTTGGTCCCAGGTCTCTTCCACGAAAGCAAAGATTTCATCAGTAAACAAATCGATCCACCGCACAGCGCTCAATCTCAATCATCACTTTGGGCGGTCTAATTGCGGTTACCGCTAATACCCCAGTATCCATTGCGCGTAACAGTGACATAATTTGACTCCGGCTGTGACTCTGGCCATGTCGCCGGTAATTTGCAGGCAGTTATTAGAGCCAAGATAATGCTCCGAAGTGTATCTTGGCTGGCAATGACATTCGCAACTGCATCATCAGCAACCGCTGACTGGCCCATTTCCTGGCTTATCATTCTGCATTGTATGTAAACAGGGTGAGTGGGTTGGCAGGGGGCGGGAACCATGCGGAGGGGCACATCGTGCTGGCTCTGGGAAAATGCGCAATTGTTTTTATTTTTTGTTCCCCCCTTTATAACGCACAAACGAGAAAACTCGTCCAGCAACTCAGGAATGACCCAGAAACCTTAACAACGACATCAGACAGACGGTAGCGACAACGTCGAATAAAAAATGTCATGCCAGAATTTCGTGTTACCCGAAAACAGCCGAGTAACTTTGTTAGCACGAAGTCTAACCACTCTGTTTGAATAAAAATTGACAGCATTTAGAAATATTTAAAAATAATTTTTTTAAGGAATTTCATTTTAACACGAAATAGCCTCTGATAAATGTATCTTTTAAAATATTAATATTAACATGTTAACTGACATATATTTAAAAATATGTATTATTACATTATTTCACTACAGAAAAAGCATATAATTCTAAAAATAAAATAATGATAATAACTAAATAACATAAAATTGGACAGCTATTTTGCTCTTGTGCCTACATCAACAACGGATCCCAGTCTATCAAACTTTAAGCCTAAGTACATAGCCCCCTTGAAGGGCAGGGTACCACGAGTTAAAAGCAAAAACTAAGCCATGTCTAGATGTCATGACCATGTCAAATGCAATGAAAGTGGCGACCACGTTTCTCTGCCGGGGCCACGAAAAACAACTCCTTGACTAGGCCACTGGCATTGGCATTCCCATTTTGAATGCGAGCTGTCGTCAATTACAAATTTGACACAAGCACTTACTGCAACATCCACATCAAGATCGCAATGCAATGCAATGAAAAGTGAACTTACTTTCACGCCACATGAAAATTTCTTTTACTTTCAAATCATTGATCAAGATTTTTAATCGATACGAGGAGCTGGAGTGCAAGTTGGCCAACACTTTCCCAATGGCACAGCCATTTTTGGCTAATACTCGTTGCTAGAGATTGCGGCGATCGATTGGGATGCCTGCTTAAAGCTGGTTATGACTGTGCGATCATCGGTCTTTTGGGCAGCATTAGTGTCCATTTCCATTTTCATTTTTTTTTGTTTTTCATTTCCATTTTCATGTCCGAGTCCATATCCATGGACGTGCCCATGTCGAAATGCAATTTTCACCAGCCTGGCAAGTGAAATCGCCTGCAGTGTCCCTAATGAAGGCAGCGAAATGAAAGCCACACACGGTGCTGCCAAAACGGAATGCCAGAGCCTCATTCACCAGGCACTCCAGTGCCTGGGAGAGCATTCTCACACAGCCTTTGCTTAATTGAGCTGGCACTTTCACCGTCTTTTCAATATTTACAGGGCTAGGAATCTCTAGAGAGCTTGGAAGATCTTCAGAGCTCTAATTATACCGAGTATTGTTTTCGCATTCATTTTCTAAGGGCTATTGTTCGTGGTTTTGCTGTCTACTTAGTGAGCATAAGTTAATATTAATTTCTTGTAAAAGAGCGACAACTTTATCGTCTTTCTTTTCTATTTTAAATTTTGGTTACATTTTTATTAATTTACTTTCTTTAACTTTAAAGGTAATTAATGTGTTCTTTTAACTTATTTAATTACCGAACTGCATATTTTATACTACTTTTTTTTACCTTAATAACATAACCTAATAACATAATTAAACAAAAATAAGTACGTTAGATTAAAATAAGATAAGTAGTAACTAAGTAAGTTACCTTCTCGGAGCAATTATTAGGGCTTTAAAATCACCTAAATAAATTACAATTAGCTTCTTGTTAATGCTACCATGCAATGAAAGCCTAAATTAACCCAATATTCCCTTTGCAGGCCGTGGCAAAATGAAGAAGATGATGGGCATGATGATGATGGGAATGGCCATGAAGATGATGAGCATGGTTCCGATTGCCATGGGAGCACTCTACATACTGGCGGGCAAGGCGCTGATCATCTCGAAGATCGCCCTGCTCCTGGCGGGCATAATCGGCCTGAAGAAGCTGATGTCCGGCAAATCGTCGGGCGGCAGTTCCGGCTGGTCCTCCGGCGGCGGCGGCGGAGGAGGCGGTGGCTGGTCGTCCGGGGGCGGCGGAGGAGGAGGCGGAGGTGGCTGGGACCGGCGATCCCTGACCGAGGCCCAGGAGCTGGCCTATCGGGCCCACAAGCAGGAGCAGGCAGCGCACGCGCAGAGCCATCCCCAGCTGCAGCATCTGCATCCGAAGGCAGCGGCGCCGCAGGTGACCAACTCGTAGACGGTGAAGGGAGAAGGAGGAGGAGGAGGAGTGACACCAAGTGTTAGATAGCTGCATTTATCTTGTGGATAAATCACGGACGGCGGACGGCGGTCGGATTGTAATTAGATATACATAAACTCTCTTTTTGCACTTGCACTGCGGGGCAGACAAGAAGACCTGATGCACTTCCAACGGTTCACTCGACGCACAGTGGCACCCATGGGTACATCGGACGAAATGTATCCAGAACGTGCGTTCCCACTGGCAATGCGGATTTTTTATAATGATTAGTATTTGCTTTAATCGATTATGTTTTGTCTTACGTATCGCTCTGCCCTGCTCTGTTCTTCCATCCGAGTTTACTGTTACTGAACTCGGCCTCTGCATCTTTCCTATATCGACTCTGTATCTGCATCTCGCTGTGCTTTGATTCTTATGGCTAACTGCACTTGCTTTTTCAATTACCTCTCGTACTTCCGCTTCGGCAGCTCCGTTTCCATCTCACTCCACCAGCGCACTCACACTAACTCTAGCCTGTCTAACTGTACGTAGGCACTAAGTGTAATAATTTATTTAACTTATTTATTTATTTACTAGCCGTAAGTGTAAATCGCATGTAAGCAGCAAAGTTTTCAAAAAACAGAAAAACAAAAAAAAACATACAAATAAAATCACTGATACCAATTGAAGGCCAGCTTTTTGGCATGAAGGCGGGAAGGCGGAAAAAAAAGAAGAGGGAAGGTCAAGTTAAAGATACTGGGCCAAATATTTACGCTTCCTGTAACCATTTGCCGGAGACTACTTCCGCTTGCCTTGGCGAGGTCCCAATAAAACTTGGCCCCATCTCCGGCTTCCATTAATTCTGGTTGTAGTGTCCCAGGGTGTTTGTCCCATATTCGGCAACCTTATGGCCCACGTTTATTGCTTTGGCCAAAACACACGAGCTCACAAGAGATTTGAGACGAGAAGCAAGTTGGTCCATAGTTCAGCTGTGTAAACATTTTCCAGGCCACGGACACAAGGAGAAAAGTTAGTGGGCTGTGCAAGTACGAGTATTGCCCCCTGACTTTGTTCATAACAAAACATACCCGAGATTCCAGGGGGGGAACAATAATGAATTACGTAAAATGAATCATCATCCAATTAGTTGTGTTCGGAGTAATGTATTCTGCTGGCCCATGAATATCTGTGGGCCTGCGTTAAGTAAGTTAAAGCTGTTGGCCCATTCGACTTTAGTTAAGGATTATGCTTGTCATTGGATTTCATCACTTAAAAGCCCCTCGCTTCCAGCTCATTAAAGTCCTTTACTTAAATTTCCTGAAGACTTCAAAACTCAGTCTTTTACATATAAAAGTTATGTAATAAACACATCAAGTGGCAATTATATCACAACAAGAAGGATGATGCAAAATTGTCTTTGGCCTTGTAACGAAGAATTGCATTTTGCAATTTAATTTTATCTGCCAGTAAAACGAGAATGGTTAGACCAAAATTTATCGAATTTAATGCGGTCGACATTAATTACGTAAATTTAAAACCTCTTAAAAACATATCGAATAGTAACAAACAAAATGATTCTTTATTAATATTACTTATAAATAAATTAATGGATTTTGTTATACATATAATTAAACAAATTCGAGATATAAAATCTGGAATCTGCAATTAATATTGTGTTGAAAAGCAAAGTTGTTTTATTATAATCTGCCTTTAAGACTCGGCGTGTGCAATATAATGGCTTTTATTTATACTAAAAGTAGCTTTACGTTTTAATTAATACTGTGAAATAAAAAGAGTGTTGTTTCAAATTCAGTTTCGGTTCTATTTAGATACAAAAAGTCTGCAGCGTTATGTGTTTACAAGTATAATGCTAATAAGGGAATGGTTGACCTTCAAATATAGATCCCCCAAAAATGCTAATTGGAATTGATAAAATTACAAGATGAAAAGAAACGCTCTTGATTTAATTTAAATACGATTCACTTTTACTTTTATTTGTGTGTTCGTCAAGCAGTCTGCCGATTATCTCAAACTAGTTTTACTGATTCGGGAATAACTGCCATAAATGAGGTTCGGGTTGCTTGGCTATGGAAGATTTTTTTCAGGTACATAAACGGGTTTATATCCGGAGTACAGCCATTTGGCGAAGGGAGTGATAGGGGCCGCTGGAGGCAGTGTCTCTTGCTTACTTCGTTTTCCACCAGCCGGATTGACCCCCGTAACCACCACCGTAGCTACCTCCGTAGCTACCGCCGTAGCCACCTCCGTAGCTACCGCCATGAGTGGTAGTGATCACTTTGTAGAAATCCACGCGGCTGGCACCTCCATGACCACCACCGTAACCACCTCCGTAGCCACCTCCGTAGCCACCTCCGTAGCCACCTCCGTAGCCACCTCCGTAACCACCTCCGTAGCTTCCAGAGTTCCAGCCACCACCTCCTCCGTAGCCACCTCCGTATCCACCTCCATAGCCACCGCCTCCTCCATGTCCTCCCTCATAGGTGTTGATCACCTTGACTACCTGGACTCCACCGCCGCCACCACCTCCGTATCCTCCTCCGTAGCCACCACCGTATCCGCCGCCGTAGCCACCGCCACCACCGCCTTTGCCCCCCTTCAAAAGTTCCAGAAGGCCTGCATTGGCTGTTGCCAGAGTGGCGGCCAGCGCCAGAAGACATACAAAAACCTAAGCAAGGGGAAAAGGATATCAGTTCGAATTTAATCCTTTCACGAGTCCGCTTCGTTCCTAGGAACCACTCACTTTCATTGCGGATTGCGAACGCTTGAGAAGCACAAGTAGAACTAATGCCAAAAGCCAAAATCGCTTTCGATTTAATAGCTGGCTGACCAAACCCCAGCAAAGGTGGCTTAGTGAGCGGCCATATGTCGCACACGCTTCACTTCTCTCCAAAAACAAGGTCTTTTGACTCATCAGAGTGACTTTGCCATTAAACCAAATCTCGTGCAGCGCTTCGATTAAAGCCGGAGTGGCCTGGACGATTCCCGAAAATAAATTTATGATTTCCATTAAAACAGGGCGTAGGAAGACTTCTGCGTTGAACTAGTTTTACGGCTAAATTAGCCGGGTTGCAAACAAGGCAGTCCAATAGAGTGCAAGCTGCGATACAAAATATAAGCGTCAAAAACAAAGTCACAAATAAACCGGAACAAATTTTTTTAAAATTATATCGTTTAAGACTATAAAATTCTTAAAGTGAAAAGTGTTGATTTTGAATTAAGGTGTAATTGAATTTAAAAAAATGTTTTGATTTAAAATAAATCCTTGTTTTATTTATTCTATTTATAATTTTGTTTTATTTACTACATAATTATCATTTAAAGATGTAAATTAATTTAAAAAAATGTCAAAAAGGTATATATTATATTTCATATTAGCTTATCTTTGCTTATTTAACAATCTCTAATATAATAATTAATTTAAAAAAACAAGCTAGAAACAAATAACGAGAAATATTATCTCTGTGCACTATTCTCAAAGTCGCGCCACGAGCAGTGCGAACAAATGCAAGACGGCTTGTCCCAGTTGTTAGCTCATCATAATCACTAGCCGAAAACCAGCCACATGCAAATTTTCGGTAATAAAAAATAAATGCTTTAAATGTCTCAAGCTGGCTTGATTCATGTCTGATCATCTGTGGCCGGCATTATCATACATACATACATGAGACAGCAAAACAATGCCAGATAAAATACGGGTTTCGCACTACTGAAGACATGGAGGAAATAAGCTACAGTCACTCTCCATTATGATCCTAAGCTCCCCGAATGAGTTCCTTTGGTCGCTATCAATCATAGCTAGCCGTTAATGGCCATGCTCTGAAAGCCATTTCGATTGCTATTCACAAGCCACCATTATCACTCAGGCTATTTCACTTATTCCGTGCCATAAGCCTATCCCATACATCATTCTGAATGCGGATAATAGAAAAACAAGGCAGAAATGGAGTTGAATCTAGCTGAGAACTGCATTCTGGCCAGGACTACATGGAAATGAACGCCAAACATTTCTGAAATGGCATGAAATAAGTTAAATTATTCGTCACAAACATGGTTTGACACACAAATATTTACCTTATAAGAAAGTGACGATTATTTTAATTTGATACTTTCACAAATCATCTGTATTAAAATGATGTTCGGTTTCGTTCCAACATTTTAAAATCTTTTTTAAAATACGCTTTAATCTCTATTTGGATGCTCAATCAAATCAGAATAAAGATGTTACCTTTTTTCCATCCGGATGGGAGCTGCTCCTTGTAAAGGAGCTGCTGAATCAAAAATTAAGGATATATAATAATTCGACTGCAAATACAGATTTATTAAGTAGATTGCTTTTAAGTTCTGATAAATTTATTAATGGACAAAAAAACTTAGTTATAACCAAAAGTCAACTCTTTTAAAGTCAACTATTTCGATGCTCGATCAAAAAATATAAAAATGATATTAAATCGTATTATTGTTCGTTTTGTTTTTTATATGTAGATTTATCTAGATTTTTGTTCAAAGTTTCATAGCGATGACACATCTAGAAGTACTTATGGCCGCGGCTCCATACAAGCCCGACCACTGTGCATCTGTTTACTTCACCAAAACTAGCCATTTTTTCGGGGTTTCCTTTTAGCCACAAGCCTAAAAGTAAGCTTCACTAAAAGGTTGAAGCTGGGAAACCTGTTCAAAAGCCGGCCAAGTTTTTTTACCAGCTTTGGGACGAGCGAACAGATGGCACCCAACAGTATGTGACAGGGGAATGGAAAGCAATAAGGTGAGTGCATTGCCAGAGAAACTGCATCACAAAACCCAGAGGCACTCACCGATTCACCTCTTGTGGCCCATCGTCCATTTGGGAAGATTAAACGCATGGCAAGCTAAGATGCGATGCTGCATTCAAATTGAGGCAAAGACCAAACTTATTTGCCGCAGGCAACAGGTGGAGAGAGAGCCATTAGCACGCACGGACCTACAATTACGCGAAGTTAACCATTGGGCACACTTTCCCAGGGCCCAAAACCTATATAGAATAGTGGCAACAAGTGCAAGGCCATCAGTTGGACTTGTGGTTTCGAACGTGCAACAGGGCAATAAAGTAGGAAGGTGGCGAAAAGTGAAAACTCACAAAACGGGGCTCCAAAGCATTGTTTTCTAATTAAAGTGGCAATGCCTCAATGGGCTTAGCAGCACGTGTTGTGCTCCCTGGAGCGTTAATCTTCGATCTGCCAATGACACCCCACTCGTCATCTGTGAAAATTTACATAAGTGGGAACTGGGAAGTGGCCTGTGGTCGGTCTCCTCCACCCAATCCGGTTACGCCTGACGGCTTACCCTTTTGCGTGTGTACACAGTGAAAAACTGTTTATTATAATGTAAAAAATAAAACAAAGTAAACATTTAAATTTGAACAGAGAGCTAGAGTTTATAGAATTAATTATATCTCGGTTTCCCCTTAGGACTGTTTTTAACAGAAATATTCAGCATCGATTTTTTTTAGAGGCGCAAATGAAGGCGCAAATGCTGGTATTAATATAGTTAATCATTTCAGAAATTTTGATTTGTTTTAAACCAAATTTTATTTTTTTGGAAATCCGCTGGCTTTGTTTACTGGAAATCGTCTGTGCTAAGCTTCACCATCCTCACCTTAACTCATCAAAACATTTCAAATAATAAATCAATTAATAGAATGTTTTTATATAATACCCTATTTCTTTTCGTGTGTGCTAGGTAAAAGTCTTGGATGTAAAAAGCTATCAGGGGGATCAACTCGGCGGTTGACCGCAAGAAAAAAGCCGCAGCACTTTTCGGCGAAAGGCCGTTAAATCGCTCAACCAGAGAGCACCATAAACTGTCGAATGGCCAGTAGAATTTGGTCTACAAAGATCTCGAAACATTCACCTCCTCACAGTTCGATTCTTGACGGCGTGCGGAGTGCGTGTGTGAAGTGGAAAGCCCAGCCGAAGGACCCACAAGGAAAATCGAATCCAAAATGTGGCTGCGACAGGTGTTGGTGCTCGGCATTTTCGGGCTCATAACAATGAAGGTGGCAAGGAGCGCCGCCAGTCGGTTAAATAGCGCCACTTCCACTTCCGCCGGCAGCCATGGCCCGCAACTCAAGCTGGAGATGAATGCATGGCAGCCTTTCACGCAGCACAACAATTGGCTCATCCTCCAGGCAACAGCGCCCAGCTCCATGCAGCCGCAGCGAGAAGAGATCCGGGAAAGGCGAAAGGAGCCGGAACGACTTCCTGTCAATTTCTACGCCTACAACCATCGCTATAACGAGAGCTCCCCGTCGCCAGGCGGAAATTACAAACCGATTCCTCCCAGCGATCCAGCCGGCTACGTTTTGGCCATCAGCCAGCAGATGCGACGGGGCCAACTCCTACGCCAGCTGCCAGAAGCGGAGGAAGCCGAGCCGGAAGTTCACGAGGTGGCTGCGACTTTAACCCACCCGGCTAACGGTGATGGTGATGATTATGATGATGCTGTAAACGAAATCCTTCCTACGACAGCGGGAGCAGGAGAACAGGCGTCCCTCCGGGGAATCGAATCCTACTTGGAGCCCTTCGAACGAGTTCTGGTTAAAGTACGCAACTTCTGCGACGCCCTGAAGAGTGTGATTAGCGACGAGGCAGGTGGGTAATTTTGCAGAAAATTCGTTAAAAAGCTAGGTGTCAAGAACTTTACCAACTACATTAGATTTATAGTGAAGTCTTACTTCTAAAACTAAATAATAAATAATTTAAATTTAAACAGGGACAGCGACAGTACCATATTTGTAAAATAAAAATTTCAATTCTTAAGTTAATACTGGTATTTCATGATTTTTATTTAAAAAATTAAAATAAAAATACAAATCAGATATCTTTCACACCAAGCGGAAAACAAAAAAAAAACAGGATATATTTCATGTGATATACTAACAGCAAAGTTTTATTTTTAATATTTCAAAATAATACAAATAATAGGTAGGTATATGGTCATAGCCACTTTTCAAATAATGAATTTGCGCTAGATTTCAAGCAGTCGCTTTGATGATTGCATGATTTAGCTAAGTTACGGGTGTTTGATAGTCGAGGCACTCGACTTAAGCGTTTTCTATTGTTTTAAATTAAATTCCAATCAGGCGGTTTTTTGAAGATACTTAGACCTGAGATGCCTTTATTTTGTTTGCTTGATTATTTTCTGTCCTTTTTTACGGAAAACGGATTAAGATTAAACTTGATTTTAAACGGCTTACTGAGCCGTAAGACAATCTTTCCCAGATTTATAAATCTAATATATACTTGATACTTGAGCTTATGCAACTGACGAGCGACCATGACCTCAGGGCGCCTGTGACTGACCATTTAATTACGTGGCTAACTAATGCTTTCGCTCCTCCTCTCGCAGATGAGGCCGGTTCAAATAAATTGGATGCCACCACAAGCGAAGCAGCAGCCACCACAACACTGCCAGGTGCAACATCAAAGGACCTCCTGGTTCAAGGTCGCGCCCAACGCCTGGCCTCGCAATCGGAGGGCCGCAAGCTCAAGAAGCTGAAGAAGAAGATCCAGAAGCTGCTGTTCCCCCTGCTGATTGCCTATAAACTGAAGTTCCTCACCCTCATTCCGGTTTTAATCGGCGGGCTCACGCTGCTCGTGGGCACCACGGGTCTGGCCGGCTTCTTCTTCGCTCTCTTTACAGCCGTAATGAGCCTAAAGAGCTCCGGAGGTGGCCATGCTAGCAAGTCGCTCGTCTTGAAGAAACTCTGATGAGTTCCGATTTTAAGCACATTCAGATTAGACTAAAGTTGGCCACCTGTTCAGTCAGCCAGCATTGATTCGTCTGGTGGCTACAAGCGACGCCGATTTTCAGCGATAGTGACGGCGCGCCCTTAAATGTAATGAAGTATTTGTATATAACAGCATAGTCTCCCAAGAACGATAAGCGAATTTACAATTAGATTATTGTAAATTTAGACTAGACGAATTTGTAATACCCTGGTGGCTAAGAGGGGTTTTTTTCTGCAGACTTTTCCACAAAATGATCTTTTTATTAAACATATATTAAAATGTTCTTTATAACGCTTTTCGAAGTATCTGGAAGCAAAAGTGTGCCTAATATGAATTTATAAAGGTTCTTGTAATTTATTACAAAGTACACTAAATTGTTTGTATACCCTTGCAGAGGGTATTATAATTTCAGTCAGATGTTTGCAACGCAGTGAAGGAGACGTTTCCGACCACATAAAGTATATATATTCTTGATCAGCACCAATAGCCGAGTCTATCTAGCCATGTCCGTCTGTCCGTCTGTCCGTTTCTATGCGAACTAGTCCCTCAGTTTTAAAGCTATCGCGATGAAACTTTCCCAAAAATCTTCTTTCTATTGCAGGTAGTACATATGTCGGAACGAGCCGGATCGGACCACTACATCTTATGGCTCCCATAGGAATTATCAAAAAATTAATAGAAAAACCATTGTAACTTTGTAGAAAGTAGGCGCTTTGATTTTTGACAATGTAAAAACAACATTTTAAGTAGGCATATCTGCAAGGGTAATTATGTTCTTTTCTGATACATATAATTTAAAATTTGTTTGTAGTAAGGGCTCATTGGTTTCAAGTATTTAATTAAATTTTAAGTCAGTGAAGTTGCTTTAAGACAATGTTGGGCAAGTAGATAACTTTAAATTATGATTTTTAAATTTCTGACGATAGTGTGCAATTTACCAAAATTAAAAACTATACTACATTACCATGTTGTTCACTAAGTAGCGGTTCTTATACTTAAAATACCGAAGAAAATAAATACAATAATATTTAAGTTAATAAAGAATTAAAAGAAATTGATCCTTTCAAAATCTAGTTTTGTTAATTGTAAAGACCTTTAGGAAAGAATTTTTCAATTATCATAAATACAGCCGAATTCCCCAAAAATACCTTGAAAAGGGAGTGTATCGTTTCAGCACCTACCGGATGCCAAATAAAAGTAACGCTGACACCCAACCAACGATAAATTCCGCAGACACTTTGCAGTTTGTAAAGTCAGGGTTTTGGGCATGAAAAATGACGACAGCAAAAGCTTTAACGAATGTTGTCTGCTGACTGCGATTAGTTCCGAGGCACGCCTGTGCATTTGAATGTGTTTGAACGCCCTGTGTATATATAGCATGCACATAAGGCCAGAGTTACATACATATGTGCGGCCCGACAAGATAAGTCCATCTGTCTCGTCTGGGCCTCACCTAATTCAGTTTGGACTTTATTTAATTTCCCGGCGAAAATACATATAGTCCATCTAGGCAACTCCAGTAATTGTAGAGGCGAACTTCGTTTGCCACCTTAATATTGGTAAAATTTAATTAGTCCTATTTCTGCGTTGCAGGCCATCATCCACGGGGCATTATTGAACATTTACATAAACACGAGTTCACGGAAAGCCTTTAAATGGAATCTAAAATATTTTCAGGGCCATTCATGTTAATGGCAAAGTTATTAATGAATTTTTAATATCATTTTCATTGGGTCTGCTCTGGACACACAAATTTGATTAAATTTTGTGGCAGCTGTAGGTTTATTTTAAATTGGAAATTGATGTCCAATTAATAAAGCAAACGTTGTAGCCTTAATTACAGGTTTTCCTGGAAGTTTTGATAAGTCAGGCTAATTACAAGTAAATGTAGGCAAGCATTTTTGATATTTAATCTTTAAAAAATAAATTGATGGTTTATTTACTCTTAATTATATTTTTCATATTAATTTATTTTAGTTTCTTAGGATTTTATAAAGCTAAACAAGAGAGAACGCTATAGTCGGGTTCGTGTCCCGACTATCTAATACCCGTCACTCAGCTAATGGGAGTGCGAACGCTGTGCTCGGGTTGGTGTAACGACTAATAATCGTAACTCAGCTAAAGGGAGTGCGAGGGAGATAGATATAGAAATTTTGATTGCGTATAACTTTTTAATGAATGGTCCGATTTGAAAAATGTCTTCTACATTTCGATAGGTATAAATATGCACAACAAAATTGCATTTATACTTTTCGGAAATCTTAAAAGGTGTGGGCGCCAGACACATTTTAAAATCGTTAGTGGGCTATTGTGGGCGTTAGAGGGGGCGTGGCACTCGGCTAAAATAAACTTGCGCTGCGTAGGAAGCCAAAGAATATGTGTGGGAAATCTCAACCTTCTAGCTTTTGTAGTTTCTGAGATCTCAGCGTTCATACAGACAGACAGACGGACAGACAGACGGACAGACGGACAGACGGACAGACGGACATGGCTAGATCGACTCGGCTGGTGATCCTGATCAAGAATATATATAGTTTATAGGGTCGGAAACGCTTCCTTCTACCTGTTACATACTTTTGCACGAATCTAATATACCCTTTTACTCTACGAGTAACGGGTATAAAAAGTATTAGAGCTATTTAAATAAATTTTTTTGGTACCTATTAAAAAACTGTATTCTGTATCCTGTATAACTTATTTATTATTTGGGTTGTGGTTGTGTCTTGTTTTTGATAAAAAATGGCAAAGGGGTACGTGCCTTTGCGAGTGATGGAGAGCATTTCTCTGAAAAACTTTTCCTTGCACAACTAAGAAATGGAAAATGCTAGCCGCCCAAGAAAAAGGGCAAGTGAACCGAAACGGACCGAGTAAAATTCCCTCAAACGATAATGAAGAGTTTTTACTTGTTGATGGTCGGAGCAATTGACCCCCGACAAGAGTGGTGCACACAACCCAATAACAACAACAAAAGGGTACAGTGAAACGTCTGCAGTGAGCCGTTCATTAAAGCAGGGAAAATTTAATGTGTCCGTTCACGCTCAAGTAAAACTGAATCGACGGAGCAAAACAAAATCAGCGAAAACAAGGTAGAACACTTGCGAAAAAGTAGAATCATAAATCACGAGTGAATCGTTCAGATTTAAATAAATAATAAATGAAATATAAATGAAATCGATTGGGTTGCTGGAAAAAGATAGACTTCTGAAGTTATACTTTCTTTTTGTTCAAATAAGCTTGCTTTTTGAATTCAATGTTACTAGTGCTGCAAACGCAAGTGTAAACTTGCTGTGCTAGGATAATAATAATAATAATAAAATACCTATTTAAGGAAACAAATGGATTTCAATTATTTATAGTTTTAAAAACTTGAACACGTTTAAGGCAAAATACAAGTTAAATCAAGCTTTTGGTCTTAGAACTTTCTCTTTGTGTAAAGAAGAAAAAAAACGGTTGCGGTATAGAGTGGCCACCAATTGGCCAAGAATATACAGATCCCCAATTGAATCGAAATGCATCGGAGTGCAACGAAGAGAGTACCCCATTACCAGCAGTCTGCAGTGGTCGCCCACTTTTGCTCAGTCGTCTAAGAACGGTGCAACGGTGTAAACATGCTCAAGACATCGATCTCCGTTTTGACTCTGCAGCTGCTTTGGATGGTGTCCTTCGGTGGAGCTTACAGCCTTCCGCCGGTGGTGCAGATGGGTGGTGCTATTGTCGCTGCCGTAGAACAAGACGCCGAACAGGAAGCTGCCAGCGAGCAACAGCAAATGGAACGCGAGTGGCTAACAATGGCCGAAGCCCAGTTTCACAGCCTCATCAACGAAGATCTCAGTCCAGAGGAGGTAAACAACATGCTAGAGATCTGGTCAAACGAAGGTGGGTCTTAATCTATATCCTTTGCAAGGTGACTATTTGAAGAGATTCTTGATTCATTTAATTTTGAGAATTTTTTAGTCAAGTATGGCGAAAATGTCACAGTTCAAGATGGAAAATGTAACAGCGATTTGAATTTTAAATATATAAGAAATATTAAAATTGGTATTAAAATACAAATTATGCCAAGCGTCCAGTTAAGCACCGTTAAGTACTAGTGAAATCCAAAAACTTGATGGATTAGAGTTACATTTTTAAGTTTTTTCGTGAAAATATTTTTTTCAGTGTGGTTTAACAGCTGAAACAGTAAATTGGTTAACAGACATTTGATTCTAACCGACCTTTTAATCAGCATAATCATCCAAATTATAAAGATATGAAGTTTTATGTAGAACAAATATGCAACTTGTGTTAATCCTTACTCTTTTTGGTGATTTTTATCGAACAGGTCGCGGAAAGCACAAGAAGCAAAAAAAACTTATGAAAATGATTTATCCTCTTCTGGCTGCCGCAGCTGTTGCCAAAGTAGTCTTGCTGCCCTTGGTCTTAAAATGGCTGACAGCACTTTCGACCTCATCGTTTGTAATGGGCAAAATTGCATTGGCCACGTCCGGGCTGCTGGCCCTTAAATGGATATTGTCCGGAGGACATGCACATGATCGCCTGGAGATTGTTCATTCTCATGCACCGCTCGTAAAAGGATTACACGGCACGGATCTTTCCTCTAGTGGAAGCAGTTGGATGCCCATTCGACAACCATTTATACCCTTAGGTCTATCCAAAGACCATAACTTTGACAATCTGTACAAACCATTCTTATAAGCTATTAAGAAACGAAAGTAGAAGTGTTTAGGAATGAGGAAAATTCATAAAAAGTCTTTAACTATTATAAAATGTTAAACAAATTTTTGGTTGATGAAAAGAATATATGTGTATATAAATCTAGTGTTAATGTGGAATCAAATCATCTTGACCAACAATACAAACATCTCTTTTCCGACATAGGCCACGTAACTCCCAGCTTCATCAACGATTAATTAGCACATGACTCGCCCGACTTTAACGACATTACGTAGCCGCACCGTTGACGAATTTAGCTGTATGCACGCAGCGCAAAAATTAACAGCACTGCGGTTCCGTTATGCATAAAACGGTTTATTGCGCACGCGTACCGTCCCCATCAAAAATCCCAAGCCATCAAAGTCGTCGCATTGGAAGCGGCACTTCCGCAAGTGCCTGTTGCAATAGACGCCGACAAGCGACGGACTGACTTATGTAAAGAGCACGACCAAGAGCCAAAGTCAACAAACAGGTTGACACAAATCAATCAACATGCTGCAGCCGATATAACAAAGAGCTACGAACCACACCTTGGGTGGCAATATCCATTTGCACTTTAGCAACATTGACCAAACTAAATACATTTTAACCTACGAAAAGAAAATTAGTTTCCCAATAAATTAAAATAAAAGGAATTATTTTATGACATTCAACAAAATTACATAAGGACAATTATACAAAGTTGTTAGTTATTTTGAATTTTACTTTTAAAATTTCTAAAACAATTTTAGGTACACAAATTTTTGCACACAAAATTGTATGGCTTAACTAAATCTTTAACTAATTTAATAATTATAAATATATTTAATCAAATAAAAACACCTCTTAACGAGGTAAAAAACTAGTGACGATCGCACCTTCAACATACAAAAGTTCTGATATCAACATTTGTGACGAAAAATTATACTCGTCATTAAATAGACTTTCTAATATTTTCTCATTCGGCCCGCCCTAGCAAACTATTCCAGCCTTTTTCCCTTCACAGGCATTTTCTATTGCAGCGTGCCGAATGAGAAAATATTAGAAAGTCTATTTAATGACGAGTGTAATAATTTTTCGTCACAAATGTTGATATCAGAACTTTTGTATGTTGAAGGTGCGATCGTCACTAGTTTTTTACCTCGTTAAGAGGTGTTTTTATTTGATATCAGAAGTTTTTGTTTGTTTACATTTGCTCTCATAGGAGCTAATATATACATTTAAATTTAAATTGGTCAATCATAATTTGTAAGCCATTGTATTTAAACAAATTAAGTTAAAAAGGCGTTTAAGTATTTCAAAATACCTTTTAAACGAGGTATAGCACATGTCTGTACCTTTAGTAGTGTAGAACTTAAAAACTAACGAAATTTAGCTATTTTTAGCTTTTTTCCCGCTAAAGTAGAGGGTTTTTCCAAAAGTCGTAGAACAAAAGATTCCTATGTGGAACTGTTAAATGCAAATTAACTGATTTCATGACCCTAATATACAGTTTTGATACCCACGCACAAAATTCAACACTCAGGAAGCGTTAGTTGTTCTGAGCTGGCAAAAGTGGCCATTGTCGTTTCTTAATAACTTTTAAATGTGATTTTTTACTGTAACATGATATATACCAAAATTTAAGGAATCTCAAGGGCTATACAGTTTAAAGTTGTAAGGGAAATCGTTAGAGCCGTTTTTGAGGAAATTTAAAAAAAGCTAAAAAGAAAGTTTAAAAAAAAATTCTTTAGTTCATATCTTTTTAACTATTACATTTACACAAATTGCAGATAGAGGACGTTTATAGCATTTAAAAATACCTTTCAAACGAGATGCAGCACAAGTCTGTAGCTTTAGTAGTATAGAAGTTACGGCTTTCCGAATTTTAGCTATTTATAGCTGTTTTCCCGCTAAACTAGCGGGTTTTTCCAAAAGTGGTAGAACAAAAGTTTTTTATATCGATGTGATGAACGTCATATCAAATTTTCAGAACTTAAAAAACATATTTTGGACAAGTGGACAAGTGGACAAACTGACAAACAGAATTAAATTTTCATTTTGGGAAGAAGAAGAAAATCTTATTTTGGCTATAACTTTTGAACGGAGAGTCGGATTTTGACAAATTTCGAAATTTTCACTTTTTCACTTTCACCGCTCTCTCTCCCAAGCCAATAGATTTTCTTAAAGTCTTGGTATGCAATCCTGTTAGTTTTCGCAATACCTTTCGATAGGTGTATTATTCATTATGATCGGACCATCACAGTAGATTTTCATTTCTTCGTGTATATATAGTAGTCGCCTTCGCATACTCTCATGGTGCGCTTCGTCACTACATGGACTGCCGTCCATAGTGATTATATTTTTGTTTTTAATAAAATATCGTCCATAAATTCCTTGTCGAAATCAATAGACGAGTATAATGTGCATGTGCGGTTGAATTTATGTTAGCAGCCTACGCAAATCGCACCCCAAGTGAAAGTTGTAGGGCGCCAAAAGCGGAAAGACAATTGCAAGTGTGGCAGGGGCGGGGCAACAGCCACAGATACATCTGCAGCCGAGAAATACGAGGTACAAGACCCAGGTATGCGCATGCCTGTCGCGTATCTAACAGATCGATAAACAACGGGCCCTATCTTTCTTTCTAAGTGAGACTTTGAAAGTGAAGTTGAGACCCCAGAGCTGGGCAATTAAACTGGGGAAAGGGCGAGGCGAGAGGAAACCCACCGGGGCGGCCTTTGTCATCGCATCTCTGCCTTTGGCTATTAACAACATTCTCAGCTCCGCTGACTGCGCAATGTTTGCGGCTCTCACGAGATTACTTAACCAGGCCATTTAGCATAGACACCGCTTCGTATTTGTTGTCTGAGCATTTGTGTCATCAATTTCACTTTCTTTCGGGCCCAGCCAGATGGGTTAAACAAAGCGATGATACTTAGGCCTGGGCCGAGGCTAAAAGTGATCCCACAGACGCACTTAATCATATTTTCCCACCTGGAAAAATAACAAAAGCAGGAAGTAAAGGCTAGCCTAGGAAATCGAAAAGTTAAATACCCTTGCGGGCGAAAATTATAAAAATAAATTTCTTGAATTATTTTATGACGACTTGATTGTACGGTGTTATTAAAATAAACGAAAAAGTTAAAACTTAGTTAGTTTATTCCAAAATCTTTATCAATACAGTTTGTACTAAATAATTTTTAATTTTGTCGCTTCATGAAATATTTGTAGACCGCAGATATTAAATATTTGTCCATCCTTTGCAAGAGTATACATAATATATATAAATGTCCCAGCCCAAAATGGCAATTGCCCTAGCTCTCGTGGCAAAGTGAATTGAATTTGTTTTGGCTTTGAACCGGAGTGTGCCCGCAAGGTAATGGCTATGAATTTTTTAAATGCAAATACCATAACTAGCAACGACCCAAGAAAACCTTTGAGCCAAAAAAATCATGTTCATACATACATACATACGTATTTAAGTATGTATATCCGCTCGATGCATGAAAAACAATTTGAGTTGGCACTGCACTTTCTCAGCCGAGCGACAATGACAGCAACGACTACGCACAATATTGACATTTCATATTTGCACAAATGAAAAGAAAATCAATTTCACCTGCTGCTATTTTTCCGTTCAACCCAACAAGCTCACAAAGATACACTATTGCTGGGGATGAATTACATGTGTGCGGCAGATGGTGGAATTCGGTTAGCTTAATACGGTCAACAGATGAAAGAAATCTTATATTTATAAATACTTTCATGGAGTTCTTAAAAGCCTTTACCTTAAAAATTAACTGAAAAAACCCAATTTTAACAAATAAAGTTATATAATGTAACAATAAATAATAAACTAAATAAAATAAGATATTTTTACAAAATAATAGTTGTATTCCGACTGGGAAATAACTTTTTCACCCTTCAACGTGATATACGCAACAGAACGTGATACCTATTTTCATTTAATTCAAGACAACATTCCACAAAATCATTCAAAGAATTTTTTGTGATTTCTTCAAGACTTAAGGTCATATTCAAGTTTAAAAGTCTTACGGCTGCCAATTCCAACTATTTGGCCCTTTTTGGTATTTGCCTCAAACGAAATAAATTTCTGTCTCTTACCCAATACAAACTCTGTGAAATTTTTCCCCGCCCCGTAGATTTATGTCTCCCCACTGCGCTGGAATTCCAATAATGCCACTGGAATTCCGAGGGCTGATATTCGATGAAAACACACGCAAATGGGTCAGTAGAACGTACGCTGACCAAAAATATAAAAACGAGCCGGCAAAGCCTCGAAACTCGACTGCGAATCGAGCAGGCTAATTTGAAAAGCAAACGCACATGGGCCAAAAGAGAGCTCGACCATCCGGCCAACCAGCCACACCCACATGACCAGAGTAGGAGGAAAGTTAGGTATCGATTTATGGCAACTTGTTGCCGGCTAATTGAGCGACGGCCAGCAACAAATCGCAAATCGAAAAGCGCACAAATGAAACGGAGCTAATTGACTTTGTGTAAATAATAAATGCCCACCAGGCTACTATCGGGAACGCATTAAATGGGGGCAGGCTTGGGGAAAAAACCTTGAGAAAGGTTATCGCAAAAATAAGAAATTACACCGACAACAATTTACGCCAAAAGCTTTCCAATTGGGCAAAAATGTTTTCTATTTCTTTCAGTGACCTCTATGTGATACATAAAATTCTAGGTCATGGATGGTTAAAATATTTCTATAACACGTTTTCTTTAGCATCTCAACACAATTCACGGGACTTGAAAATTTTGAAAATATTGTTCTGTATACTGTAAAAATAATACATACTTTATTTCAAATGCTTAATTTGCTTGTATTTATTATCAATTACACTGTGCAACATTTTTAGGGTTATAAAATGTAACGGCAATTCTGATTTCATGGGCGGAAAGAACTCATCGAAATAAGCTAAAACCCATTTGGGTTTCTCTGGCTTAGCTCGCGTTTACCTTTTATAGCGAGTTAAAGTTTTACATACAAAATTTATTTGTAACGGCCATATCTTTT